AAAAAAAAAACAAATGTCCCCAGCAGTCCTTTTTTGCCACCATCTCATTTTCCTAACTTTCTTGCTTCTGGAACTATAGCTAGAATTACCATAAAGGCTTAATGAATAAAAAAAAAGCTTAAGGAAACTAGTAGGTTCACACAGGATTTACATTCTGCTGACAGTGATAGACACACATGGTGTGGACTGTTAAGACCGGTAGCCCACTTCCTTTCAGCTTTATAGCTGAAACACTTATTGAGAGAAATCCTGTTGGTCTTGGGGTAACACAGAACGATGCTTAATTTAGTGGTATAAGTGTATTGCTTACACAATATGGTCAAAAAACAGCTGCTCGAATCCAAGTCTGTGGAATAAGCTGAACCATGATTTTGAGATAGAGTTCATTTTGTTTTGGTGTGTGTGGAATTTTGTTTTAGAAGCTGTCAGTGCTTATACATATACATAAGGTATAGTTTAATAAAATTGCTTTCCTTGTGTTTCCTTCCTTTAATATCCTCACACCCTATAAATAGTCATCATTAAAGTTCACTGACCACCAGTACCAAATTTAGAAGGCTCTAACACTGAAAACTTGACAAGGAGTTATGGACCCCAAGGTAAACTAAGACTGAGTCAGCCCTGACATTACTCACTGTGGAATGAAAGCATTAAGTGTACTCTAGTTCTGCCTGAGAGGAGATGACTTTACCCAGGAGTACTGTCCCTCTATCACCAAACAGGAAATAGAAGCTTCTCTTAGCTTTGATGATTTGTATTTGCTGGAAGAATTTCTGATTGGTGGAGGCACAGAGAACAGTGAGTGACCCAAAGTGAATCAACAACTCAAAATGGGCCAACAGAACATTTTGGAATCCTACTGAGGCCAGGACCCAGAGATCATAAGCCAAAAACTGCTTCCATCCACATGGGTCTTCACTGAAGCAGGGGAACACAGTCCCATTCCTTCCTCAGTCTAAAGCCTGGCTCTTTGAAAGAAAAGAAAGGAAGTTGTTGCAGGTGAGAGTCGTGCTGTTTCCCAAAGGTCTAACACGCAAGGCCACACCTGAAAATACCATCATGATGCAGAAAATAATACCACTTTGAAAATTAATTGCTATTTTTAAGAATAGAAAATCCAGGATGCCTACTCTGAAACTTTACTAATGAAAGTAGAAGCCACACTAGCATGCAAGTACAATCCCCTCTTAAAAATATATGTGACTATTTGGTTTTCAAGCACCACATAAAGACTTTTAAAAACTTTTAACAGCTCGGTGTGGTGCTCATGTTAAGCAGGTTTTTAAATAGAACCGACATCTTGAATGGGCTAAGCAACCATGAAACATGAAAAACCATAGGTGTTTTGGGTGGTATTTGAGACCAGTAAGGAATCAAATTATGTTTCCCTCACAATGTATAACCATCCAAACTGCATGCACACATACAGGTTTATGCAAAACCCTAACAGAACTATACACAGCCTTGCAGATTAGAGGTAGAGACGTGGGTTCACTCTGTATATCCTACCAATGGCAAGAGCAGAAAATTTCTATTTCAATTGATTATGGGCAGAAATTATGTGATATAAATAGAGGTCTATAAAGTTTGAGATTTAGAGTAGAGGAAGGGAAGATAAAACCAAAATTCCCAAGAAGTCATAAATAATCCGTGTTGCTTTTATATGCAGTGAGCTCGTAGAACTACCGTCTTTAAACTCATGTGACTGCGTGTGGCATTTCAGTATGCTTCCACTTGGCTCATCATCAACCTCCTGCTGTATTCGTAAGCCACAAATAGTGCCGCATTGGAAGGAACTGCTCGAATTAAAGTAGCTTTTAGTCCAGAATATAAGGCTAATATTCCTTCATTTCTCACAATACTTAAAAGGGTCCCAATAAATCCTGCAGGCTTTTCAGCCATAGAAAGAACCTGAATTCTGGATTTAATGCAATCCAACGGGAATATGACCAGCCAGAGGCAGATTCCAGCCATTCCACCACTTAACATCAAAGGAACAGGGCCTAGTTCATCCTTTGAGCTCCCTGATGCAAAAAACGATCTGCTCAGTTCATAGCCACCAAAGTAGAAGAAATGGCCGGGTACTTCCTGAACTAGAGTGGTGGACAGTCCGTAGTAGAAGCCTAAGGGGCCATCCTTCCTAATAACACTCTTCACCACAGACCAGACTGTATTAGGGCTTTTTGCGATCTTTCCTGACAACTCCATTTCATGCATGGTCTGCAGCCGGCACTTCACAAGCTCGGTGGGGCACAGTACCAGCGCAGCAAATGCAGAGGCGATGGAGCCTGCGGCTGCATTCTGCAGATCATTCAGCGCTTCCTGCTTGTGCAGTCCAGCCACTTTCCTTACAAGCTGTTGGCAGAAGCCATAGCACATGAAGAGGACAGAGCTCTGGGCGACATAGGCCAGGAGCGCAGGGCTGGTCCCCTTGTACAAGCCCCCGAAACCCACTTGGTTGTAGGTCTTCAGGAAGCAGTCGATAAGGCCAGTGTACAGGGTGGGGAAGGTCTGCATCTTCACTTTGATCGTGTCGAAGGGCTGCCCAGTCAGCACACATGCGCTGCCCCCTATGGCCCCCGCGGTGAGATCTATGGCAGCCTGGATGCCAGGGCTGGACTTCATGTTCGCCTGCTGGTCCGCAGGTCTCCGTTGGAAGGCAGCCCCCTGGATCGTAGGACTAGTGTCTCTCGTCCTACCGCGCCCAGTGCCTGGGTGTCCCTCACTCCCGGGTAGAGACCGCTTAACCCCAGGTTGAGCCGTCGCTGTGCTCCGGTTTGTTCGGACGTAACCCCTGCCGCGGCTCGCGAGCCCGCGAGTGCCCCACTGGCCCCACCAGCAGCCCACCATTCCCGCGGGGAGAGGCTGGATGAATACTTTTGGTGAGCTGTAATCTAGCCACTGAAAGCTTCTCCTACATTCATGCAATGACAGGCTGACTCCACGTGACCGCTGTACACCCGGGGGACAGAGAAATGCTTCCCTGGGGCCGAAATGTAGCTCAGGTGCAGGGCATGTGCTTAGCTGGTGGGAGACCCTGCCCAGGTTATATCCCCAAACACCAGGGAAAGAAGAAACGCTTTCCTGTTTGGCTAGACTTCCCCGTTTCTTGCCACTCAAACCAAAATAGCAATTGTGAGTCCCTAAGTCCAAACCCAGTGCTGACACCCCCCTCCCCCTCACACACACACACACACGCGCGCGCGTTAGGGCTTTTTGCTATCTTTCCTGACAACTCCATTTCATGCATGGTCTGCAGCCGGCACTTCACAAGCTCAGTGGGGCAGAGCTCTCAGTTGGTCGAGCTCAATGCAAATTGGGTAATCTACGGAAATTTTAAAATAGAGAAGACAAACTATTTGTGAATTGCTAGAGACCATGGCTGCTTTTATCAGAAAATCTCAGCCAGCTGTTGCTTCCCCTCACTCTCCTGGAAGCAGTGTTGGGGGCCTGAGCTCTGCAGATTTACTTCACTTTGGAGGTAAAAACAAATCAGCGGCAGGAGTGTGTGGAAATGAGTCTTATTTAGAAAGTTTTCCTTGACTGGTTAACCTTGGTCGTCAATTAATATTTAAAAAGTGAGGCAATAAAAAAGCACATTATGCATAGATAGTTTGTCAATAGGAGGTCTGGCCCTTTGTCTGGAGAGTGCCCCATATCAGTATTTTTGAAATTCTTTTCTCTGGAACCACATTTTTCTTCAGAGATAATCTTCCCATTTTGACGGGGGGGG